GCGCGCGCAGCAGCAGCAGCAGCAGCTCCAGCAGCAGCAGCGCCCGGCACCAAACCCGGCAAACACCCCAAACAGGAAAAAAGCTGCGCGCCCAGAGCAACTAGCGGCAGCAGCAGCACCAGCAGCAGCAGCAGCAGCACCAGCAGCAGCACCAGCAGCAACAGGGTGATTGGGGGCTACGATAAGCAGCAGCTGCGGCCAACTCTGAAAGCCCTGCACAGCTTCTTAATTACTAAAGCCCATAAGTACCCCGGGCTGAAGCGGCTGCATGCAGAGGGCTGGGCAGCAGTGAGTTGGCAGGGGGCCGCGAGGTAGCGGAAATCCGGGAAAAAAAGGGTTTTCTTTTGCAAAAAGAATTCGATTAAACATAATTATTCAATTAGAAACAAATGGTTCATCAAATTGAACCGTTTCCAGACCCGAAACCCTCAGTTTCGGGGGTGCGCCGAGGTGTACGTACACCCCAAATGCTGCAGCACTTGCGGTGTACGTACACCTCAGCACACAGCCGCAACAAATGCAAAACCACAACTCCTTTGCAGATCTTTTTCATTTCCTTTTTCCCAAGAGTCTCCGCTGCCAATTAATGCAACGCCGAGGCAACAAATAGCTTATTTAGTTGTTCAATTCGTCCTGTAATTGGAATACCTGAAATATGCAGAAATAAAACAAAAATAATACAAAAATAATACGAAAATGATACAAAAATAATACAAAAGTAGTGCAGTTGTAGTATAAAAATAATGCTGAAGTGATTCTTCAGTAAGTCTGAAAAACTGCAGGAGAGAAAGAAATGACATTTGCAAAAAGTGCATATTTGTTGCATATTTGTGTGCAAGTGTAAATGTGCATGCAAGTTCATAAATACAAATGCAGGTATAAATAAGTAATTTATTTTCATTAGATTTATATATAGATATATATATTTAATTACACTTATTAGTATATATATATATATATTTTTGTAAAATACACATCTATATGGATAAATGCATAGTACGCATAAATATGAATGTATACATATAAATCTATTTATATTTTATAAATATAAATAGATTTATATGTATACATATATAGCATACATATAAGTATAGAATTTATATATATACATATATATTATGTTTACGATTAAATTAAATTCATTTTTCTTTTAATTGCCTTTTCCTTTTAATTCTATTTTCATTTGATTCTTTTTCCCTTTAATTCTTTTTCTTTTGATTCTTTTTTCATTTGATTCTTTCCCTTCATTTACTTCCTTTTCCATTTAATTCACTTTCCATTAAATTCCTTTTTCCTTTAATTCTCTTTTTACTTAATTCATTTTTCATTTATTCCCTTTCTGCTGCCAAAGCTATCTATCCACTTAAGCTAAACCCTAAACCCTTAACCCTAGACCCTAAACCCTTGTGAGGGTCTAGCTGTTAACTGCTTCTCTTTACCTAATGGCTTGCACAAACAAATACATTTATTTATTGTTTAATACATTTATTTTACTTTATTTTATTTCATTTTTTCTATTTTCACTATTTTTCTTTTATTTTTGAATTACTTGTGGAGATTTTGGCTTTTCAACTATAAAAGAAAAAAGCATTTAAATTTCTTTTCTTTTGTCTCCTTTTGACTTTTTAAAAAGCAAGTAAACAATAAAAAAAGAAAGGAAATAAGTAATAATGGGGCAGCAAATCGGCAAATGCTTTTAAATATATATTAAACATTAAATAAAAAAGCAAGTACAACACTAAAGATCAATCTATCCTGCTGCTTTCTAGCAGCAGCAGCAGCAGCAGCACCAGGAACAGCAGAGTCAGATGCAGCAGGAGCGGCCGCAGCAGCAGGGGCAGAAGCAGCAGCAGCAGGGGACAGAAGCAGCAGCAACAGCCGCAGCAGCTTGCTACTGCTACAGCAGCTGTTGCAGCAGCTTCTGCTGCAACAGTTGCTGTAGCTGCTGCAGAAATCAAAGTGGCCGTTGCAGTAGCAGCAGCAACTGCTGCTGGGGCTGCTGCAGCAACGTGCTTCAGCAACTGCTGCAGCAAAAGCTGCCACAGCAACAGCACCAATACCAATGCGTAAGTAGCATTAAAAGCCAGCTGCAAGAGTAACTGATTCTGCCGCAGTTGCTGCTGCAGTTGCTGCTCCTGCTATCGCTGCTCCCTCAGTAGCTGTTGCTGCTGGTGCTGCTGCTGCCACCGCTGCTGCAGTTGTTGCCGCAGCAGTTGCTGCTGCTGCAGTTGCTGCTGCTGGGATTCCCCTTCGCAGCAGATGAAGGCTCGCAACAGCGTGAAATAAAGGCACTTTGCGTTTTGCTACACTAGAATTGAATTCTGCATTTAAAGGTCTTCTTAAAATTCCATTTTTTGCATTTTCGACAGTTTGCTGCTGCTGTGCGTTCAGGTGTACAGACAGCTCCGCGCATGCATGCTGCGCCTCCAACTGCAGCAGACTTTTCGCGAAATGTGCAAATTTAAATGCAATAAATGAATTATGAATGCAAAATATGAATTATAAATGCAATATATTCTAAATCGAACATCATTTGCATGCAAAAAGTCTCGGAAAGAGTCATGTTCCGGATGTGCATGCATCCAAAAGGTACTTTTCGTATCTTTTGAGGAAATAATAAATATACTTATTCTGAAAAAATAAATAGCTGCGCAGCTTCACGGGCTCGCAAGCTTTGCTGCTGCTGCTGCTGCAGCCGTCTCTATTATAAAGTTTACCAGTTCTGCTGTTGTTGTTGCTGCTGCTGCTGCAAACACAAAAATCTTTTCAGGCCATGCTATTAAAAGCAGAAAGAAAACTGAGCGGCTTGCTGCCGCCGCTGCTGCTGCTGCTGCTGCGCGCTGCCTGAACCTGCCACTGTGCAGCAGCCTAACCAGAAATGCTGCTGCTGCTTGTGTTACTTCGCTGCTGCTGCTGCAGTTGCGAAAATCGAGGCAGAATACCAGTTGCTGCTGCTGCTGAGCATGAACCTGCCGATGCCTGCCGTCTCTCCTGTGCTGCAACTGCAGCCGCAGCAGCTGCAACAGCAGTTGCTGCAGCAGCACCAGCAGCAGAAACATCGTTTCAAGACGCACCCTAGGCATTTGCGGTGCTGCTGCTTCCTTTGCTGCTCTCCCGTTGCTGCTGCGTCTAAGCTGTGCATCATTGTTCCCATCTTGGCTGGCGGCGCTCCTGCTGCTTGCTTACTGCTGCTGCTGCTGCCGCTTGCTTACTGCTGCTGCTGCTGCCGCCGCTGCTGCTGCTGCTGCTGCTGTCGCTGCTTCTGCTGCTGCCGCTGCTGCTGCCGCTGCTGCTGCCGTTTTGGACTTTGCCGCTGATGTTGCTCTTTGCCTGTTCCCCTTTTGCTGCTCTAGCTGTTGCACATGCCGTTGTTGCTGTTGCTGTTGCTGCTTCTGCTGCTGCTAAGTCTGGAGTGTCACTGCACCTCCGAGGCTTGCGTGGGCAGATCGCAGAAGTGTGCTTGGTGGTTGCTGCTGCTGCTGTTGCTGCTGCTGTTGCTGCTGCTGTTGCTGCTGTTGTTGCTGTTGCCTTGTAACTCCTTCAGCTGCAGCTGATTATTGAGTTCCCAGAGCTGCTGCTGCTGCTGCTGCAGCAGCAAGGCCGCCGCTTTGGCGTGTCGGCGCCTCTTGAGCCTGCTTCTGCCGAGAGCAGCAGCTCTGCTGCTGCTGCTGCTGCTCATGTCTGCTGGGAGAAGGGGGGCAAATGCTGAAGGGAAGAAGATGCCAGCAGCAGTTATGAGCAGCACCAGCAGCAGCACAGCAGCAGCAGGCGCCTGGTAGTGCCAGGCGTTGGCCGAGGCTGCAGCAGCAGCAGCAGCTGCTGCTGCTGGATCCCTCGCTGCTGCTGCTGCTGCTGCTGCCTCCTGCGGGTCGATGGGCAGCGGCTGCAGCCCCTGCTGCAGACTCTGGAATAGCAGCAGACACACTGCAGCAGGCAGCAAATACTTCAGCAGCAAAGACCAGCAGGGCCGCAGCCGCAAAAGGCCTTGAGCAGCAGCAGTTATGATATTCAGGTGTCTACGCAGGTGCTCCACATTCCCCACAAAAAGCCAGAAGCAGCAGTGGGCCAGTCCGCCTTCAGTGCGGTGCAGTCTGCAGCAAACTCTCCTGCTGCTGCTGCTGCTGCTGCTGCTGCTGCTGAGGCTGCCGGGGCTCCTGGGGCTGTTCGGGCTGCTTCGCGGGCTGCACAGGAAGGCGGAAGTGCTGGGGACTGCAGCAGCAGCAGCAGCAGCAGGAGCAGCAGCCGCTGCTTCAGCAGCGGGGATGGCAATGGCTTGGGGGGAGGGGTCAGGAGAGGAGCTGCTGCTGCCCGCCGCTGCTGCTGCGCAGCTTGCGGGCGTTCCGTCAGCAGCAGCAGCAGCAGCAGCAGCAGCAGCAGCGGTGTCGGGTGCTGCTGCTGCTGCTGGTTGCTGCTGCGGCTCCGCTGCTGCTGCTGCTGCGTCCGGAGCGTCGGCGAGAGCGAAGTCGTCGCGGAGGACAGCAGCAAGCTTCTCCCTGTAGAAAGCAGCAGCGGCAGCAGCAGCAGCAGCAGCAGCAGCAGCTTCTGCAGCAGCGAGGGCCTTTTGCTGCTGCTTGCGCCTCGAGAAAGCGACCGCAAGGTAGAGCGACGCAGCAGCGCCGCCGACAAGGAGCGCTGCAGCAGCAGCAAGCCCTCCTGCTGCTGCTGCTGCGCTGCCGCCGAAGAAGAGCAGCACGCAGGCCAGCAGCAAAGACCCCACAAAAGCAGCAAGCAGCCCGAGGGCTGCTGCTGCTCCCACCTGCTGCTGCTGCCGCCCCAAACCATAGACCCAGCCAAAGGAGACTGTCTCCAAAAACCCTATCAGCAGCAAACCAACAACTCCCCAATAAAAGTCTGCTGCCTGCAGCAGCAAAGTGCTGCCGGGGCGGCAGAAGCAGAGGCCGCAGAGGCAGCAGAGGCCGCAGAGGCCCAGGCACACCGCCCAGCGCCTGCTGCCGCTGCTGCTGCTGCTGCTGCAGCAGCGCGCGGTCAGCAGCAGCTCCACAGAGGGATATATCAACGAAGACACGCTGCTAATCCCCAGCAGCACAAAAGACCCAAAGAACAAGCAGCAAAACAGATTCGGCAGCGGCAGCGCCTGCAGCGCCACAGGGTACAGCACGAACACGAGCCGGGGCCCCTCCAGCTGCAGCCGGTCCCACGGGGAGCCCCCCGGGGGCCCCCCGGGGGCCC